AGATTCCGAATGGTGGTTCTGCTTCGGGAGTCCACTGCTGGAGTCATTTCACAGCCCAACAGTGTGTGTTTTTTTTTGTTTTTTACACGTTTTCAATTTTTATTCACTCATAAAAAATTAGGGGTTATGCAAGAAGTATTTTTTATATTAGCTATACACTCTGATAAATCTTGGTTGTTTCAAACCACATTTTTAATTTAAATAAAATATTTACAAATCCAAACAAAATTAAATTAAAATGTATTCAGCTAAATACATACACAGTTTTTAGTTAGAGTGCAATATTGATGCACCTATTGCTTTGTGGTCCCACTTTACACTAGTCAACATTTAAACTAGATCAAAACGTTTTATCATAGTCGTCCTAAAACTATTCAACAATTTAACAAAAACTACTTTGCCACGTTTTTGATCCACTTCAAATGTTGACTACTGTGTATTAGGTGACCTTAACTACTATGTACTACTTAAGTACTTACTGTCTTCATAATGTAATGCAGAACACTTCTGGTGCTCTTAAGGTGGGATACAGAATTAGGGATGGTCAACAGTGTAATTAAAGATGTAATTACATAAGTTAATTACACATGTAATTATATGCAGGTGTTTAATCAATCCTAAGTTCAATGTAAAAGCTTATTTTTACACAATAAGTACATTGTACCAATGATTAATTTAATTGCTATGTGCTGAAAAAGTAGATTCATTGGGTTTACTACATTTTTTACTGCAAGGTAATTGGTTGCAAATAATTTGTATATGCTGAATTTAAACAAGGTAAATTTAGTATGTTCAGTATGTTTAGTATGTTTAGTATGTAATTATGTTCAACTTAATTTGTTTGTTTAAATTCCGCCCTTATAAATTGTTTGCAACCACTTACCTTAAAAGAAATGATCAAATCTACTGAACCATTTTTCAGGTGTGACCCAGAAATGATTTATTTTAATAAAGTGTCTTTAAAAAAAGACAAATTTCACGATCAGCTTTCGTCCTATTCTTGCGTTGTTGAGAAAACCAACCTTTTCTCTTTTAATTCTTTTGATTCAGTCTCAGTGATTCGCCAACCCAGACATGCAGTTTCTTTTTTCTGACGTTTGATTTATGTCTTGTTGAAGTTTCACATAATGGCCATTTTAAATTTGCACGGCTCTGATGACAGACTCAAATAGCTTGGCCTGTGCCCACAGCAAATGCTCACCATTCTGTGTTCCCAGCTGAAGTCAGCGTCTCTCTGTTGGCTGACACTGATCTCATTCCCCGAAGTGAACTCGCAGGTCTGTGTGAAATGTAAACATCGCCCACCTGCTGCTGCGCCAGTGCTCATCCATCTCCAGGTGCAGGATGGGCAATTGTTGCTGCATCCCATTTTACTTGCATTACATTCTAATAGTATGGACTCTTTATGTGAAGGAAAAGTACATACTTTTGAGTGTGTAAGAGAAGAGTAGACAAGCTTTGGAACAAACCTCTTCATCATTAAAGGAATAGTTCACACAAAAATTCTTCCATCATTTACTCACTCTTCACTTGTCTCAAACCAGTTTTGAGTTTAACACAAAAGAAGATATTTTGAAACCAGTAACCATTGACTTCCATAGTATATCTTTGCTATTATGGATGGCAATGACTGTTGGTTACCAAAATCTTTTTTCAAAGTGTTTTTTTATAAATATTTTGAACCATGTGACGATAATTAAATGGAAGTACTTTTTTTTTTTAGATTTTTCTGTTGCTTAGTTACATGCCCTGTCAATCATATTGTCACATCCTTCAAATTTCTTTTATGTTTAATTTCCTATTTCTTGAATCATATTGCCAATGGAGTTTTTGTTAATCAGTTGTGGGTCTTTCATGTCGAGAAATACATGTTTGGTAATTCAAAAGTTAATGACAAAACATGCACATAATTAATATTTTTCATCAGGTTAGGTGTTAATCATTCATACACCGTGCATCCGGAAAGTATTCATAACTTCACTTTTTCCACTTTTTTTATGTTACAGCCTTATTCCAAAATGGATTCAATTGATTTGTTTACTCAAAATTCTACACACAATACCCCATAAGGACAATGTGAAAAATTATTTTTTAAGTATTCACAGCCTTTGTCGTGAAGCTCTAAATTGAGCTCAGGTACATTCTGTTTCCACTGATCATTCTTGAGATGTTTTAGCAGCTTAATTGGAGTTTACCTGTAGTAAATTCAGTTGATTGGACATCATTTGAAAAGGCATACACCTGTCTATATAAGGTCCCAGGGTTGACCGTGCATGTCAAAGTACAAACCAAGCATAAAGACAAAGGAATTGTCTGTAGACCTCTGAGACAGGATTGTCTCGAGGCACAAGGCTGGGAAAGGTTACAGAAAAATTTCTCTGAAAGTTTCAATGAGCACAGTGGCCTCCATCATCCGTAAGTGGATTATGTTTGGAACCACCAGGACTCTTCCTAGAGCTCGCCGGCCATCTATGCGGGCTGTTTAATATGATTTACGTTGTTGGCGCATTAGCCTAGTGGTTAGTGCGCCAACAAATGTTGCAGTAGCTGGTCACAGCTTCCTGATTTCGAATCCTGGCTCAAGGACATTTCCCTACCCCCTCTCTCTCCTACTTTGCTTCCTGTCTTAGTACTGTCCCATCTAGTAAAGGCAAAAAGGCCAAAAATAAATCTTTAAAAAAATGACAGTATGTTTTACTTTTCCAATCTCTCCATCTTGTCTGATGTAGTTCATTGAAAATCCACTAGAGCTGAAGTTCCATTCATCAGTTCTGCCATGTTTTTTGACTAACATGCTCCCAACTCGAAAACAACTCTGAAACTTGTAATAATAACTTATAATGACGTTCATTTGCCTGTTTATCTATTTAACATATTTAAAAATTTAATATGATTTAACATTTAACGCATGTAAACCCACTGTAAGACCCTCCCCTTAACCGCGCCATGTTTGTATTTTCTTTTAACACTTTATTTTCTCTGTGTTTATAGTATAATCAAATTCACAATCCAATAATCAGTGTGTTATTTGTAATATTAACTTACAGTGCGCTTCTAACTTTTACAGTAAATAGTAGACCATTGCGTAACTTTGGCGTACTCATTTAAAGGGATAGTTCACACAAAAATATTTATTTTCTTCATTGTTTAGGCTACTCTCATGTGGTTTTAAACCTTCTGTTGAACACAAATGAAGATATTTTGAAGTATGTTGGTTGCTGGCTTTCAAAGTAGGTTAAAATATTAATATGGAGGTCCCATAAATCAACATTTTTCAAAATGTCTACTTTTGGGTTCGACAGAAGAATGAAACTCAAATAGGTTTTCAACAAGTGAAGGGTGAGTAAATGATGACAGAATTTTCATTTTTGGTTGAACCCTTTAAATGTACTAATATACTGGTATAATATATAATGGTACACTAATTATTTTTTGGAAATTGGGACGCAGCAAGAGTGTTTTCAGCTGTTTGGAAACTGGAAATAAATGAAATCAGCCTCCAGTGGCCATTGAAGCAGACAGAAGTGAATTGAGTGGAAGTGTCCCTCGCCTCTGCTGTGTCCTGTATCAGATTCGGCTGCTCGCAGACACAGGCTGGATTTTTCCAGCGTTAATGTGTCTGAGCAGTCGGTGTAAGATGATTTCTCCAGACCCCGTGGCACGTCTCCACAAAAGTCTGACCGCCTTCCTGTGCAGTTTCTCCAGTTCTGAAGCACACAGATCAGATTTCTCAAACTCTGAGGATGCTCTACTTTATGCAGCCGTGGACAGTAACTAAGAGTTTTTACTCCACTACTGTACTTGAATATTTTATTTTGGGAAAGTATAACTTCAATACATTCCAAAGCACATATTGTACCCTTTAATATTTCATAAATGTGGCAGAATATTTTGGGCCTGATTCGTGAACAAGCTGAATTTAGCCAGTTAACATGTTTAATCTGTTTATTTATTTGTGATTGTTTATTTAAAGAGTTTAGATTTAGATGCAAAAGCCGCTAAACACCACTTTCGCCAAAAATGAGCTAATGACATTGAGTGAATGCTTTAGGCACGTAGTACCCCATCAACAAATAGATTTGCTTCTAATCATCTAAAACCTAGCGTCAGCGCATTCAGAAATAACAGTTTGTTGGTAAAAGCCGCTAAACACCGCTTGCCTTTGACAGCAAAAGCCGCTTTGTCCCCAGAACCAATTAGAACATGCGAATCGAATCATATGTTTTCAATGTAGCAGCGCGCTGAAACACTGGCTTTTATGAGGAGATGCTGGCTTTTATTATGATTTTAAAAGATGGAGTTTGATGAACTGGATTAACCTGTCCGCCTGTCAGTGAATGGCAAATGAAAACGTCCCAGAGTCAAAACTCTGTGCATTATAAGAAAAAGTCGGAATGTGCAGCATGCGTTCATAGCGTTTTTTTTGCGCAGTGATGCTATTTTAAATGAGTCTGATTTTCTAAACATTAAATGGTAACTGCATTTAATGAAAGACAGAGTAAATATGCTGTTCTTTTATCCCACATGGATTCTATGAGGATAAACAAGAGACCAAGACCTTAAAGGGCCATGAAACCCCCTCGTTTCAGCAGGGTGTTTTCACACCTCTACTTTGGAAAAAGTCAGAAAAGTGGGCGTGTCCATCTCTGTTTAGGGGGGAGTGTCGGAGGAACTAAAGTAAGATGGTGTGGGAGTGTCTATTTGGGCATGCGCGAGTTTCAGAGTCAAATACACACACACACACACACACACACACACACACACACACACACACACACACACACAGGAGAAAGTGATGGTGTTTTTTTTTTTTTTTTGTGTCTAATCATCTGGTTTAATCCCGCCCCTTTTCACTGCACCGTGCAACAAAATTCCGCACACACAAACTCTAACCTGCACTAAACCTGCATTAAACAAATTCTGTTCATCATTATTTGATGATAACATAACATTTGTGAAGTTTCTGATATTAAATTGTCATTTTTGTGTGTGTGTTTCAGGTGTTGTGCAATGGTCCCGGGACGTGTGTTCCCCTGTGTGCCGCAGGGCTGCTCCTAGGAATTCTGGGTCTTAAAAGAGTGTTGATTGTCTACGTGGAGAGCATCTGTCGTGTAAAAACACTTTCTCTGTCCGGGAAGATGCTCTACTACATTTCTGACTACTTCTTTGTGCAGTGGGCACAGCTCAAAGACAAATACCCAAATGCCATCTACATGGGAAGACTGGTTTGATGAATACACACAATATAAAGAAACCCAGCTTTTTACACTTGTATTGTCTTTTATTTTTCTAAGAGTTATATACAGTTAGAGTCTGAATTATTAGCCCTCTTGTATTTTTGTTTAACAGAAAAGATCTTTTCAACACATTTATAAACATAATATTTTTATTATTATATTAATAATTTATTAATTTCTTATAACTGAACTTTATCTATACCTTGATGACAGTACATAATACATAATACAGCATAATTGAGTAAACCCCATTTTGAAAATGAAAATTTATCCATTTCTCAGTGAATATGGGTAATATATATATATATATTGGTGCATTTAAACAAAACAGATTTATTCAACAGATATATTTATTAAAATAATATTTAAGTCACAGAACATCTTTAGAAATGGAAAGATAATACAATTAAATTTATGCTAAATATTGTAAAAAAATTACAAACATTTCAACATATATATATATATACATATATATATATATATATATATATATATATATATATATATATATATATATATATATATATATATATACGTACTTATACAATTCACCATAATTAAAACATGATTATTAGTATGTTTATTACTAAATGGGTATAGAAATAATGAAAGTAAAAGTCCACATATAAACACAAAAATATACACACATAAGATAACATAAAAATAAAAAGAAGAATAAACAAACTGAAGGAAAAAATAAATAAATAAAACAATTATAGAAAGAAAAAAGCAATTAAGATATAGGTGTCTTCTTAAAAAACCTTCAGACTATCTGGAACTGTTTTGGCTTTGGTTTTATTGTATACCGAATTTTTTCATTCTAAGACAACACATGTTTTACTAGATATTTTCAAGATACTAGTATTCTGCTTAAGTGACATTCAAAAGCTTAATTTGGTTAATTGGACAAGTTAAGGTAATTAGGCAATTCATTGTATAATCGAAAATATATTGCTTAAGGGGGGTAATAATATTGACCTTTAAATGGTTTTAAAATTAAAACTGCTTTCCATCTAGCTGAAATAAAACAAATAAGACTTTCTCCAGAAGAAAAAATATCATAGGGAATACTGTGAAAAAAATCCTTGCTCTGTTAAACATCAATTGGGAAACATTTAAAAAAAGAATCAAAGGAGGGTTAATAATTAAGCTGTACATAATGACTTAATGACTTCAGCTGTACATTTTGATACAGTCCTTGACACTGAAATTGGAGCAATTCATTCCTACGCTGTTACTGTCATAATGAATACACAACCGTGATAAACATCTCTGGAGACCAATGTTTTGTTCCTTTTACACCCTTGAAAAGTCAACAAAACTAAACCGAGAGACATTTTTTTACACCCATGCAGGCGCTTCAGCTTGTATTCAAAGTTTCGACTATTTCAACGGTGCATGAAAAGGACAATGTTTGTCTTTTGATTACAGGTTTGTACCTTTCAAGCATTTTAATTGTTCTAACTTATTCATTCCACATGGATTTTCTTGCACTGTTAAGCATCGTCGCCTCACAGCAGGAAGGTCGCTGGTTCGAGCCCCGGCTGGGCCAGTTGGCATTTCTGTGTGGAGTTTGCATCTTCTACCATGTTCGCGTGGGTTTGCTCCTGGTGCACCGGTTTCCCCTACAATCCAAAGACATGCGCTATAGGTGAATTGGATAAACTAAATTGATCATAGTGTATGAGTGTGTGTGAATGATGAGTGTGTATGAGTGTTTCCCAGTATTGGGTTGCAGCTGGGCATCCACTGCGTAAAACATATGCTCAAAGAGTTGGTGGTGCATTCCATTGATAAAAAAGGGGACTAAGCCAAAGGAAAATGAATGAATGAGTTTAGCGATACCTTATTGCTGATCTCTTTCTGTGCGAATTAAAGACTAAAAAGAGATGGAAAAGTTGCAGTGTGGCATTTATGTGTGTGTAATTTTCTGTGTTCTTGTTTTTAGAGGCAAGAAGGCAGTTTTGTACATGAAGCATGAGGTAAAACATAACCTAATGGTTTCTGTTATCTTCCAAGGCAAGTCAATGCAGGTAGATTAGTCATTTACTTCACAGCTTTAAGTTCCTCGACTGTGACGTCTCTGAACAGCTGCGATTGGATAATGATCATCAGACGTGTCTGTCAGGTACAGTTTAAGTCTTCTGTCAGGTACAGTTTAAAATCTTCTCCCCGTTAAACAGAAACTGGGGGGAGATTAAACTGTGGTTAATAATTTATGCAGGGGGGCTTAAAATTCTAACTTCAACTGTATGTGATGTCATGTTTATTAGGAAAATTCCAGGAAAAAAAAAACTGTATATGAAAATCTGATAAACGTTTTGCTTAAGACTTTATTTTAGTTACCAATTGCCACCATCTTGTCCTGTAATGGGGTTTTTGATAAAAAAATAAATAAAAAAAACATTCTGCATACAATAAGGTAATATAGGTTTGTTTATATAGCACATTTTACACACCATGGTAATTTAAATTGCTTTACATAAACAAGAATAGGAACAAGTAAAAGAAATAAAAACAACAAAGAATAATAATTATGAAAATATGATAAAAACAGATTAAAATGTTTTAAAACTAGTTTTAAAGTAATGAAAAAGAAAAAGACATAACAGTGTGATCTGTGGGGGTGTAGCACAGTGCTCATTGAGTAAAGGCACAGCTTAACAGATGTGTTTTTAGTCTTGATGCGAATGTGCCTAATGTTGGAACACATCTGATCATTTTTGGATGCTGACTCCTTCAGCGGGGGTGTAGTAGCCGAAAGTGAATTCACCCTGCCTTGACTGAACTCTTGAATTGTGATGCTTCAACTTATTTTAAACAAGTACAGTAGTTTGATCAAGTAGCAAAAAAAATATTTTTGGATATATATATATATATATATATATATATATATATATATATATATATATATATATATATATATATATATATATATATATATATATATATATATATATATATATATATATATATATATATATATATATATATATATATATATATATATATATATATATATATATATATATATATATATATATATATATATATATATATATATATATATATATATATATATATACACACACACATAGATAGATAGATAGATAGATAGATAGATAGATAGATAGATAGATAGATAGATAGATAGATAGATAGATAGATAGATAGATAGATAGATAGATAGATAGATAGAACTTAACCGTTTTTACCAATTTAAGTGGCTTGAACATAAAAAGTTGTCCCAAAAAAATTAGGAATTGTCTTTGTCAAATTTAGTTTGAACAAGCAGCAAAAGCCATTTTAAGTAATACATCGGGATAGCTTGTTTTGTGTTTACTCACACTTGAGTTTAGAACCGTTTGAGTGTGTGTAGATGATTGCAGAATTTTCATTTTTCAGTGAACTGAATCTCTTTAATGGCCCAAAACGAGGCCCAATTCATTTAGCTTTGATTTAGTTAGTAAAATAATGTCACACCAGCTTTGCTTTTAGTACTTTGGGATCTTTTGTGACTCCTGTAAGATGTATTCTGTGTTTTACAACTGTCTGGTGTTGCAAAGAGAAAAAAAAACCTTTACAACTAAATTCGGTAGCACTTTACAATAAGGTTCATTTGTTAATGCATTTACTAACATGAACTAATCATGAAAAACACTTGTAGAGCATTTTTTAATCATAATTGAACATTTACTAATGCACTATTAACATCCAAGTCCGTGCTTCTTAACATTAGTCAATGCACCTTGAGTTAACCTGAACTAACAATGTACTACTGTATTTTCATTAACTAACGTTTACTAACATGAATAAATACTGTAGTAAATGTATTGTTCATAGTTTGTTCATGTTAATAATGCATTAATTAACATTAACTATAAACCTTATTGTAAAGTGTGACCTTAAATTCTTTTAAAGAAAACACTGATTGTTTTCAAGAGAAACTCTATTTCTGATTAGCTGGTTGTTAATTTCATTACAGATACTCTGATCAATGTTTTTTCCCCAGAATTTCATTAAGACATCCTGTGTTACATTTTATTGCAGTTAAAAGACCTTCGGCTTCTGATAATACATGTCGAGTTGTCAGATGAAACACATGGCGAAGCTCCAAACGCAGCTGTTCTGACATTCACTTTAAGCTTAAATGCATTAAACTGTTAGAAATATTCACGAAAGGAAAACGTTTATGTTTCCTTGTTTACGCCACACAGTTTGAGCGACGGTGAGAGATACTGATCTCCTCAGTCAAACCACCTCCAGAATAGTTGTTTTTTTCTGATGTTCTCAATTCGACCTTGCCGACAAAAATAAACCCTGGCATTAGAGCCCCACCCTGCATATCAAGTACAAAACAACAAGTGGATGTTTAAAACTACTTGAAGAATACAGGAAAAATACATCGTGCTGAAATTAGATCCATACAGGGTTTGGTTTATGTTGTTAAGTACTGGCTTAAAGATTTTTCCCTCAAAAATCAAAATCAAAACATCATGCATAATACCAGTAATAATTACACTACCTGACAAAAGTCTTGTCGTTAATCCCAGTTGTTCCAAGAGCAACAAATAATAACTCGACTTCTAGTTGATCATATGGGAAAGAAGGTCGATTTTTCTGATGAATCATCTGTTGAGCTGCATCCCAATAATCACAAATACTGCAGTAGACCTATTGGAACCCACATAGACCCAGGATTCTCACAGAAATTAGTCAAGTTTGGTGAAAGAAAATTCATGGTTTGGGGTTAGGTTCATTATGTGGGTGTGCGAGAGATCTGCAGAGTGTATGACAACATCAACAGCCTGAGGTATCAAGACATTTGTGCTGCCCATTACATTACAAACCACAGGAGAGGCAAATTCTTGTGCAGAATAGCGCTCCTTCTCATACTTCAGCCTCCACATCAAAGTTCCTGAAAGCTAAGAAGGTCAAGGTGCTCCAGGATTGGCCAGCCCAGTCACCTGACATGAACATTATTGAGCATGTCTGGGGTAAGATGAAGGCGGAGGCATTGGGGATCTTGATGAACTCTGGGAGTCCTGCAAGAATACTTTCTTTGCCATTCCAGATGACTTTATTAATAAAGGATTGAGTCTTTGCAGAGATGTACAGATGCAGTCCTCCAAGTTCATGGGAGTCACAAACAATGTAAATTTTTTTTTGTTCATTATTTTTGTGAATTGACAAGACTTTTGTCTGGGCAAAGTCAGACTTTACTGTCCTAATTAAATAATGAAAAATCAAGACATGATCATATTTTATTCTGGTCAAATAAGCGTAATCTTCTAGAGGCCTTTGCCTTTCATATAAGCCACTTCTGATACCAAATGATCAACTAAGTCCAGTCATTATTTGTTGTTCCTAAAACTAGGATAGTCGACAAGACTTTAGTCAGGTAATGTATAATAATAATAATAATAATAATAATAATAACAACAGTATAGGATAACAGCCACAATGGCAATTTTTAGTCAATATGATATATTATTATTGCAGTGAGAGCGTAGTTTTTATTAGTTGTTTCTGCTTTTTTAAATACATTTTGATCATATTCTACATGAATAAACACCTCCATGATAAATTATCCATTAGCATATTGTCATGCTATCTTCAATAAACAGACAATGGTAAATAAGTAGAAATTAACCAATTTGTGTGTTTGTATATTAATAATCCTAATGTATATTCATATTCGTTTTTCACGTCTAGTTTATGCATTAATATTTGAATGTACTTCCCAATTACCATTCTGTTGTTAATCATTAAATAATATCTGTGTAGCTATTGACTTACAAAAGAAACATTTGAAACATATTTGTGCTCTCGCTGTTGTCAAACTGTGAACAAAACATTAAGAAAGTTGATAACACTTCAGAATGGTCAATTTGTTAATGTTAGTCAATGTATATCCTAACATTAAGTATGAATAAGCTTGTAAAGTATTTATTAATCATATCATTTACTAACGCATTTTTAACTTCCACAGTTGTACTTGTTAACTTTAGTTAATGTACTGTTAGCATGAACAATGAACGTTATTTAACTTGACATTAACGTTAACCAAGGTGAGAAAATACAGTAATACATTTATTACTAGCTAATTTTTGTTCGTGTTAGAACCTTTATTGTTACCAAAAAGACAAAAAAAACACTATTACGTGGTACAATTGTAGAGAAGCCACAGATTGAGTAAACTGAATCTCGTTCAATAGTTTTGAAAGGTGAGCTATTACTTTATTCAACAGCACCCAGAAGATAGAGCGAGACAATGGATATTATAATATGCAAATTAAAGGCTTCTGATTGGCCGTTCATGCGCGTCACTCACCCAGCTCCGCCTCAGATCCCCGACAGAAGCTAGAAGTTTTTGCGCGAGAGCCTCTGTTGTGTAAACTCACTGTGCGCGCGGATTATTCATGCACGCGGAGCGAAAAATCAACGCAACTGTGATTTTACTGCAACTTTAGGACTTTACTTCACTCATTATCTGTTGGCCTGTTTATTGACTCTACGGTAAAACTCAAAAAGTGAAACATGACCCAGTTTAACAAGGGACCTGCCTACGGATTATCCGCGGAGGTGAAAAACAAGGTAAACCGAACTTTTTTCCTCTTTGTTTGGAATATTGATAGTCTTTTGGTATATGAACTTGTTTGGGAACATTACTGTACATTTTATTAGCTGTTAGTATACGCACAATACTGTTTGGTGTAATGTAGTTAAGTTAAACTTTTAGCCATTTTATTAACAGTTTCCCTCTTATGTAAACAATGCCATCACCGTTTGATTCAGCTTTGATACAAACACATGAGGTCAAGCTTAAATCCAAGTGAATTTGAATTAAAAACACATTCATCGTAAAAGAATTACATTATAATGATAATAATTGAAGGTAAAATACATTCTAAGTATGCTTACCGCCTTAAAACATTATTTTTTATATCTGTATACTCCAAAAATGCCATAAAATGCTGTAAAATGAGGCATTTCCAACCAAATTTGTGTAAAATTGGGCTATACATTCACATGAAGAGATTTAACTCAGCAGTTGTGGCTGTGTCCACATTGTACCCAATTTTATACATGAATACATGAACCATTTTTTATTACTTCATATTGTTTTTAAAGAGTATTTCAGCCTAAAGTTTTAATTTTTAATCTAATTGTTTTGTATAAAAAAAAACTTTATTATGTAATTAAGTTGACAAATTCTCAATAAAAGTAATATTGGTCATTTAGGGAAACACTAATGTTCATTTGTGTTCTCTTGTTTGTTTAGTTGTATATCCTGCCTTAGAATGACCAGACAGGATGCTTTATGCAATAATCTACGCACGTAAAAGCCAATAAATCAATGTAAAGACACCCTCCCTCCTCCCATTCAGATGTTTTTAGCATGACATCATCAGTATTGAAAAGTAATTTTAGACCCAAGTAATCTTACTTCACAGCTCAACAGACAAATGAAACTGTTCTTTTGATAGAGACCGTCTGTCTTTCATCCGACCCCTTCGGAAGTAAGGATTTCGTCTTGGAATTTTAAGCATTCCTATAATGTGACGGCAGTGCCGGAACAGCTGTGATGTGTATAATCCTGCTTCATTCAGAAGAGTTCAGCTACAGGCTTCGATCTGTCAAAAGTGTGTCGAAATAATCACCATTTTAGTCAAGTAAATGTTGCTGTAATTGCACTCACCCTCATGTTGTTCCAAACCCGTATGACTTTATCAACACCGTGGGAGGAATAAGGGATGTTCTTGTGCATGTAATTAAAATGAATGGGTATTTAAGCTGTTATTTGGGCTTTAAAAATATTGGGGAAATGCATTAAAACTGGTCTATAAAACATGGGTGCTAGCTGGCACATCTTCTGTAAGAATACTGTAGCTTTGTGTGACAAACAAACAGATTATTTGAAGTACTACAGTGTCTGGATCGTAAATCAAATCTGTTTAATTAGTCTGGTTCTCTTAAACTGAATGAACTGATTCATCACAAAGATCCATTTCAAAGGAATGATTCATACAGCCCTCATGAAATACACAGAATATACACTTTTGCTTCTTGTTTCATCTACTTATTTAAAATAAGTTGAAACAACACAATTGCTAGGTTATTTTGGGGGACAACCTAATTGTTTTATGTTCAGTCTACTTAAATTTGTAAATATGATTAAGTTAAGAACATTTTTTACAGTGTGAAGTTTGTTCCCTTTACATAAATGAAGACCCAATATCATATACAGTTAAAGTCAGAATTATTAGCCCCCCCCTTTGATTTTTTTTTCTCTTTTAAATATTTCCCAAATTATGTTTAACAGAGCAAGAAAATTTTCAAAGTATGTCTGATAATATTTTTTCTTCTAGAGAAAGTCCTATTTGTTTTATTTCGACTAGAATAAAAGCAGTTTTAATTTTTTTAAAACTATTTTTGGGACAAAATTATTAGCCCCTTTAAGCAAATTTTTTTTTTCAGTAGTCTACAAAACAAACCATCATTAGAGAATAACTTGTCTAATTACCCTAACCTGCCTAGTTAACCTAAATAACCTAGTTAAGCCTTTAAAAGTCACTTTAAGCTGTATAGAAGTGTCTTGAAAAATATCAAGTAAAATATTATTTACTTTCATCATGGCAAAGATAAAATAAATCAGTTATTAGAAATAAGTTTTTAAAACTATTATGCTTAGAAATGTGCTAAAAAAATCTTCTCTCCATTAAACAGAAATTAGGGGAAAAAATAAACAGGGGCGTTAATAATTCAGGGGGCTAATAATTCTGACTTCAACTGTATATTGATATATTAATTATGCTTGTTGTTTTGGAGCTCAACAGTTCCAGTCCTCATGCATTTTCATGAAATTTAAGAGACTACAGAGAATGTTGCTCAAAAATTCTTTTTTTTTTCCTGTGTAACAAAATAAGTTCAGTCGTTCAGGTTTGGAAAGACATGCGCCATGAGTAAGTGATGACAGAATTTACATTTTTGAGTCTTGTGGCTAAACTTGCAAAACCGATCGTCTCTACTTTCTAGTGGAATGTGCTTTAGTTCAACTAGTTCCATTACACAATTTCCGCTCGTAATCCCTGACTTATTTTCCATTTTGCTCAGTTGGACACTGGTGCTTTTTTGTGAAGTTAGTTTTTGAGGTTTGTTGCGTTAACACTTTAACTGCCCCACCACCAACAACAAAAAATTGGATCGCATTTCCTAACTCCTAATGTCACTAGTTAACAACCTCAATGCATTTTTGTCAACACATCCCATAATTTCTAAAATATCAACCTCTACCAAATGGTAGATATGACGGTTTATGGTAAAATTACCGGAATTAATACATATTCTATGACAAATATGACAATGTGAAGTGTAATTTATAAACATAATCAAAATAAAACATTTTAAGTACTAAATCATCTTTATTTTTTGAAGTATGCCATCAAATATTTCAGGTTCTCATTGTTTTCTTTTTTATGTTTTCTTTTTTACAATAAAACCAAAATCAAGTGTGGTAGTGCAACAGGTTTGATTTTTTTGTAAACCACATTCAAAACAGTCAAAATATGGTCAAGCAATTGGTAGAGCAGGCAGTAGACAGTTGTTGATCTTGGCTTGTACTAGTTTTTATGAAATACTAGTAAAATTGACTGACCAATTAAAGTATATTCAGCATTTTGAAAACATTTGAATGACCGAATTTACATTTGAGTAAGTTTTGAGCACATTTACACCAATTCAAAAGTTTGAGGTCTGTAAGATTTAACTATAGAAGTAAATGCTCACCAAGGCAAACCAAAGCAGTACATTTGTGTTATTAATTCTTAAATATTTGATTCATTTTTAAATAAAAATATTTTTCCAGCTTTTGCAAAGCTGAATATCCAGCATAATTACACCAGTCTTCAGCATCTTTCACAATGATCTTTCTGAAATAAATCAGTTATGCTGTTTTAATCCCCAAGAAACATTTATAATCATTATCAGTGTTTGAAACATTGTATAATAATTACTTAATATAGTTTTTATGAAAATTCTTATTCACATTTTCCAGGAATATTTAATAGGAACCATTAAAAAAGCATGACATTTTAATCCTCTGTTCATCTTCAGAACACAAATTAAGTTACTTTAGATGAAATCCGAGAGCTCCCTCATCCTCCATAGACACCAATAGTCTTGAGACTTTCAAAGACCAGAAAAGGAACCAAAAACATTGTCAAAACAATCCAACACTTCAAGTGTTCAACTGTAATCGGACGAAGCTCCAAGAACACGTTTGCACACAAAAAATGACTTAAATGAAAAACTACTGTTCATCAATGTCTTCTCTTCCTCGTCAGGCTGTGCATTTACTATAGGCAGTATGACATATTGCCATCACAGTTAGCAGTGCAACAAGCAAATGTCGTATTGCATCTAGTAAGCTTGCAACCTAGGCTGCGTTTCACTTGATTTTTAAAAATGCACTCGCGAACTTCCCTTTCCTTGTTCTCTCAGGAAAATTATGGCCACCATTTTAAAGTGCATTCCACTTCGTCAAGTGAATAAGAGAAGCTTACATAGGCATACCCACGATCCCTTGAAATTGACAGAGGAAGTGAGTCAGCTTCCATTCCAGCACCTATTGACTTTATTCTTCACATACGAGCGTGACGTATGAGGATGTTGCAAACTGATTTTTTATTATTGTGTTATTCTGCTTTGTATGTATATTCTTAAACGCACTTGATTGTAGAGCAAGTAGTTTGGTCGTTTATTATTCCCAGTCATTTCTCCGATAGGTGACTAAATTGGAAGTTCTAAAACAATGGTAAAGTCTAGATAGGATATAGCTGTGGATACGCACATAAATATAGCACAATTGTTCTGACACTGTATGACAATAAATAATATTTTTATTGTACTGTGACAGTTTCGTGTTGGGGTAGGGGTAGATGTTAATAAAATACATTTAATAATACTCGGTACAACTACTGTTTATACATTACTGTAATGGTTGGGTTTACGGTTGAGGTAGGGGTAGACGTTGATAAAATACAATTATTGGGAAATTTGAAATAATTCTCGTTAATTCCAGCCGCAACCGTATCTGATCTAGCAACTAACTAAAACAATCACAAAAACAAACCACTTCCGCATCGCAGAATAGGGTCAATATGTTCCAGAATGCCATGCAGTTGTTATGTCACGACAATGTAGTTCCCAAACTAGAGGTTTAGGGCATTTCATTTAAACCCATTTAGATATTCCGCCAGTAGTGGACACTTGTTACATAATCAATGACTTATATCCGAGGGAACGAGACAGAGGAAAGTTAGCCAGTGAAGCGCATAAAAAATTGGACTGGAATGCAGCACTAATATAACATGGACGAGTTGTTTTTACAGTTATTTTGTCTCGCAAAAGTGTTCTCGGAAATTTAACTTAAACAAACTGAGCAAATGTTTGTACGATTGTGCATGTGAGGCTTTACGTCTAGTGTTCGGTTTGATTTTGCAGTTCAGCCTAATCTTATATAAGGGATGCAGACAGTTTCTTCATGTCATAAAATGTATATAAACACAAATCTCAAGTGCCTCATAACCGTTATT